ATAAACGGGGTGTTCCAGTGAGGAGACCAGTATGTAAAAGGCCAAAGTAGCTCCAAGCAAATTAACGCTGTCCACCCAAGTCCAAATAGGTATAAAATTGTTTTCTCACCACTCGTTTAACCGCTAAAATTCCAACGTGTTGTGTCCGAAAACTAGAAAAACGCGCTTAAATAAATTGCATTTTGTTCAGGTTTTTTAACTTATCATTTAAACGCCGTGTCAACACCTACATAAGTTAATTGATGACATTATTAACGTTCTTAAACGCGGAGATTAGAATTTACATTTTTTTTTCCATCAAGTTATACGACTTTTAGTTAGCCTAATTGAATAAATTATTGAAGACACATTATTATGTCAACAGTTAATGCAGTTATTAGTTGAATTCGTCGACACTTGTGTATGCTATTTTTGAAATTCTTGTTTGGAAAAATTACAAATTTTAAATCTGGTCTTGATTTAATCTGGTCTTTGATAATTATTTATGAAAATTTGCTTCTTGGTATACAAAGCCTACATAACCTTACCCTTAACAACATAACCTTGATTTTTTTGTCATTTTACTGCTAAACGAGAATCGATTTTTTAGAATTATTATTGTGATTTTTGAACGGTCCTATATTGTTATAAATTTGTTATTTGAGAGAACTTTTTCTGTTGCAAGCAAACCTTTTTTATTTGTACTCCATACGTTAATTTTAAGTTTTAAGGTTTTCGGAATTCCTAACCCCTCCTCCTTCCAGGTCAGTAGGTAGGTCTCATATTTGAAGGGGCGTTCAGTGATATTTTTTGTAAAACAGTTTTCAGTTTTATTGTACACAATTCAGCAATATATTATTACAACAGTTGAGCTTGAGCTTAAAAATTAAAAAAAAATTCCAAACATTTGAATAATATATTATATTGACTAAGACACGTTGCATTCTGAACAGTTTAGAATTATTGTCAGTTAACACCGCAGTTTATCTACATACCCTTCCATTTGTCTTTACACATTGAATTAGGACTAATATATATATATATATATATTTTTTTTTTTTAAATATATAAGTGCGGTGCAAGAACCGGTTATCTATCCATACTTTGAAATAGTTAGCAAAATAGAAAACCACCAAATGCGTTTTGTAATTTCTTTATGTGTAATTTCACTGTTTGATGCCAGAAAATGTAAACACTCATTTTTCCTATCCACAGATTGGCACCGAAGCGATTTTATCACCTCTCTGATTGTTTTTAACAGAACTAGTGCTTATTGTGTCCAATTAATTAATTATTGTGTATTAAACTGTAAAATATATTATTATTACCCTCATGGTACGTGCAACGGTGTGCTTGCGGGATGGTTTTCCATTAGGGATAAGGTGGATATTTATTGTTATTATTTGTTTTTTTTATGGACTTGAAAAATCTCAAAAGCAACAGCACTGTTTGTGTATTCAACGATAGTACGTCCGATTCGAACACATAATATAATATTATGTTTTTCCTAATCAAACGCAATCCAGAGACGGCGTACGTGCGTGACAATTATTATTATTACTGTTTTTTTACCGCGGTCGTGCTGGGCGCGGCGAAGGGGAAAATAAACAAGTTATTAAAATATTATGTTTGTGTTTATCATTCAATTGACCTACATCGTAAAATATATATTGTTATAGTAAGTAAATATGTAATATTATTATTATTTGCTACCGCAAATAACCGACGATGGTCCTTTTCTCGGGGGCTCAGGGGCCTCTAAACCGTCAGACTTAATGGCGCAGCCATCACGACTCTGCTACCGGTTATCGTTTATGGGACAAACGTGGTATGGTAATTATTATTTCGTTAATTCGTTATAATATTATTTATTTCACGACTATAAAAATACGTACTTATATTATAACGTTGTCCGCCTGTGTATGATGTTTCAATCGTTTCCCCGCCATCGCGGTTCAAGACCGTATCACAGATGTGTGTGCATTCTGATGGAAAAAAGATAGATTTTTAAATAACGATTTTTTATCGGATCGATCTCAAAGCAGTAAAATAATAATAGTCAATAATTATTAATGAATCGTGTCGAAAATATCGTACTAACTGTTTACACAAAAACTGATAAGAAACACTGATAACATGTAGTTGATCGACGACAGTCGATGTGATAAGTTGTTATCACTGATAACAACACTATAGATGTTTGATAACATAATCATAACACTTTCTTTACTGTGTTACGTCTTCTTTCGCGCTGTATTACATAAGTATTATTTATTTTTCATTTTTTTAGACACACTGACCAGAGATTGACCATCCCAAGTAGTCGACGTTTTGACAGACTTGTTGGTGTAAAACGTTTAAAAAAAAACCGTCAACTTTTATTTCTCTTGATACAAAATATATTTTGTTATATTATAATATTTATTTGCAAAAAAAAATACAGCTGTAAATAATAGTATAACGATTTCAATAAAAAAGGTGTAATTCTTAGGGTTTTCTTATCTTAAATTCCTATAAAATTGTTAAAACATATTTTTTTTAGATAACGATTGCAAATTACATTATCGAAACGTTAAAATTAAGATAATTTAATTTAAAATACTGTGGAAAAATGCTTAATGTACAACTAACTCACTATTGTGTCGTTCATTGTAAAAGTGAATTATCTCTTTGTAATAATTAAATTTTAAAATTACCAGCTTTTTGTAAATTCATTCTGTATCATCTATTTCTGATTTATTTTTTCATTTATTGCAGTTGCTTCTCTTTTATAATGAATGATACGACTAAATCCTACTCTGTTAAGCAAAAATATGTATATTTTAAAAATTTCGGAGTTACACCATTCTTACAATGAACGACCCAATTGTAAACATTGTGAACCTTTTCGTTTGGCTTATAACTTTTTGACTTTTATAAATAACTTTGAACACAGGACTTTCCGAAAATATTGGAAACCAATAATTTTGAGTGGTAAAAATAGACTTAATCCGACCGCGTGGACCGCCAGAAAAACCGCCATCATTGTATACACACACATTGATAATATCTTTTAATATTAACAGTCCAAGTCATACGTTATAGCACAATAACGCATACAATATAAGTTTGTTGGCCGTCGGTTTTTGCATTGTTCGAGGAGTCCGGAAGTGGTTGACCTAAAAAACCGAAATTCGTGCACAAAAAGATAAAAAAAAAAAAAAAACTCGTTAGCTGTTCCTAAACCGACGAGACCTAATAATTGTAGTTATAATTAATTTAACAGACACTTGGCAATAGATTATATTATGAACGAGTGTGTGTGTGTGGAAACGAGCAGGTAACAAATACCTAACGTTTGAACTACATTGGCTTGTCGTTTTATTGTTGGCCAAAATCGACTTTGAAATTCCAAAATTAATAATAAATATTATACTTATAAACGACAGCATAAGTTGTAAGAAACCCCTAACTGAAATGAGTTGAGTGACAAAATAAATCCACGGTGGTAAAAACTATTAAAATGTATTAAAGTTTTTTTGAGTATTTCATTGACTTAAAAGTAAACATCATAGGAACATAAAAATAATTAAATAACACTGCACTTTCGGCTGTGTTAAAAAAAAGCAACCTCCAATAAGATATATTATGCAGTCTTAGAAATGAGACATCCAAAAGAAAATAACATACTGTAAAATCTACGAAACGTATTAGACAACTATATTAAAGTGGTATTACAATATCAATGCATATTATCACAGTGTACATAAAAAAGTACAATGGAAAAGTGTTATGTTTAACGACCTCGTACGTTTATACATGTTCTATTATTGAATTGAATAGTCGAATACACGACCGTGCCGAGTAAGGTGAAACCATTAAACGCCTATTGTTGCTTGTATTTTATAGGCTTTGCTGTTAATATCACTGTGCGAAAGGCTGCAAAAGCCAATGCATTGGAGGATGCAATTTTCCGGATTATATACAATTGTTGAAACCAAATGAAACCAGCAAAACATAATAATTTTTTTTTATAGGGGGGCAAAAAAAAATCAACAGTTTATTTGAACTCTGTTATGAATAAAACAATATTCGAGACATCATTCAAACGCCGGTGTTGTGTTACATAGTAAAATGGCAGTTTGTATAATATGAAATCTACAGTCAAAATCACAGGTATCAATTTGTGCGCGAATGTGGTCATAGCAAGATCCTATATATATATATATATATATAGTCATAAATTCAAGGATTTCGGAAGCACATAAATGCAAATGAAAAATACATTGGCGTGACCAGTAGTAATAAAAAAAAAATAATAAATTGGAATTAAAAATATCGTTGCAGTTCATTTCATTTGTTCAAACTTGATTTTTGTATCGTCAACCGTATTGGAAGTTGTATCGATAATTATTTTTTCACTCGATTGTTATTACATATTTGATTCGAAACAAGTTATAAGAAATGATTTTGTTAAACCGCGATTATAATCATTATTATTAACAGCTCTTGTCCTACTTTTGACAGATAAATCCTAACGGTCGCTAATTGCATTTTATCGCGACCCTCTTAAAATAATTTTATTACACTCACATTTCAAATTTCCACATAAAAAACGGGGTACATATTAACATATTATTATATACCGTTTGTGTTGATTATTATATTTGTATATAGGGAACGTTTCTGAATCAGAAACATTTCTTTAATTAAAAACAAACCCGCTCTGAACGCATTATTGTTGTCTACTGTCTCACAATAGGCGTTTCGTCCAAAAAACTCAGTTGTACTTTTACAAATATTGAGGTTCAGTTTTAATTTGAAATTTGCAGACTTCATTTCGGATTTGTAGTTACAGGTGGGATTTGTTAGTCAGCTTACACACAATATGGTTGTACAAAATACAAATTTAACAAGTCGTTAGTGTCAATGCAAGATTACAGCCAAATATATTACAAAATCTTTTCAGTTTTTTTTATTCATCGATTATTGTATTAAAAAAAAAAAAAAAAACATGTGCAAAACGTGACGAACAACAATTTTGTTTTCAACTTTATAAAATTTGCTAATAGTTGAACAGCTAATCTTCCCACGGACGAATGACATCTACTTGAAAGCTGGTACACCCGACAATTTCGCCAGCCTTGTTTTTGAAACTAAACTTCATTTTATACTCGCCGTAGAAAAATGTCTTTGGAAAGTTATTGTCTTTAAACTTGTCCAAGTCAAAGCCCGGTGTCACGAATACGCCCTGCGACGGTAAATCAGTATACAATATAAAATATATCTTATTGCAATTCAACATCATTAAAATGCATTATTATCATCGTCGAAAATTCTACTATTTTAAACGATTATATTTTTTGTTCAAACGTTACCGCCTTAGCTGGACACCCTTTTTCCGGAACGTGGAACTCTTTGGTTAATGTGTCGAATATATTTCCAATCAACCACCTGACTTTTGAACAGGCCGCGGGCGATTGGTAAACGTGAGCATTTTCTTTCCAGCCTCCAATCGATCCTTTTACAGCCATATTAACGAAAAGCTATAAAGCATAAACCACTCTCGAGTCAGGTACAAGTTGTACTTTGAAACACATCAAAGCAGCACTGGCTGCTAGGAAATTGAAAAAAAAAGGATCCTGTTAGATTGGCACAAGGGAATGACAATCGAGTGACACAATGGAATGGACTTGAGAGACAATTGATTTACTTTAACTTGGCGATGTACCTTTAAAGATACACTAAATTGAAATAAGTATAAAAAATGTTACCTATTCTACATGTAAATGATAAAATTGTTTTATTATTTTTTATCCTAATAGGTCTTTGAGGTAGTGTATCTTTGAAGGGTTACCATAGGTAACTAAGGGGACAAGCCGATGCCATTGGACAAAATTAAGAGGAAGAGAAGAACGCTCGTTGAGCCAAGCATTGGATTTAAAGAAATTAAAACCGTCTGAATTTATCAGATGAAATGAACGAGTAAACAGATAAGATATCTTTGGCTAAAGTTTCAGCCATTTCATTGCCAACAAAAAAACAATAATAAAATTATTCCAATAACTTTAACTTGAATGATGTCATCTAGACGATTATTTAGATAACGTTCCGTTCGAATGATGCTGACTTGACTCGGCTGTTCCATTTTTAATAGAAAAAACCTAACGGTTGCAAATTGACTTTTGTGACTCTCTTAAATTAATCTTTTTAAACTCGCCCGTTAACATATTATAAGAAAACATTTTTTTTTATAGAAAAAAACCTTCTCTAATCTCATCTCTCTCAACTCTTTTCCACACTGCACCTTCTGTATGTGATTTTTTCCATTTACTATTTCGTTGCTTCCTTTTAACTTCCTCGCCATCACCCAAACGACTCAAACCCTTCCAATAACTTCCCATCCCTTCTCGTCGTTAGATTTATCCTAGACGCTGGCTTTGTTATCTAATTGAGAATTCTATCAATTAACAACGTGCAAACAATGAATTTTAGTTGTGTTCACTCTTGTTTTATGCAATAGTTGTAGAGCCTTTTATTCTTTTTTAATAAAGGCTATTAAAAAATAACAATAATAATGCTGCTAATGCTATACTCACCGAAAGCGTATCGTCGAGTGGAATCAAAAACGTCAGATTACCCATGAGATAACTTTCGGTGGGACTTTTCTTGCTGATGTATAGGTTGAACTGTATTTTGTATTTTTCAGGGTTGTCGCAGTGTTGCACAGCCTTAATTTTGTATTTGTAGTTTCCCTACAAAACAATCGGTTCGGGTACATAATACGCTTTGGTTTTGCCATTGATTCGAGACACAAATGGAAATATACAATACATTACCATCGGCAAGTTCGGATAGAACGTCGGCGGATTAGGAGGCGGCGTTCCTGTTGCTATTTCCACACAGACAAATAGAAAGACAACGACACACCGTGTGAGCATCTTGATCGCCGCAGTAGCACTTGGAAAACGTAAAAAAAAAAAAAATAAAGAAAATAATTTAAATTCTGTTAGACTAACCCGCAAATGTTTGCCCGAAAATTACATGCTTTTATATAGTCTGTTCAGTGTTTTCGATAATAATCAAATGGCCATATCATAACTGAGGATACCCTCCATTAAACAACCTGCGTTTAAATCTGATAGTGCTTTATGTGAGCGCATACAAGCGCATATTATAAAAATCATTTAAACACAACCGATTCAAAATGTGAACACACCGATGGTAGTTATGACATTGACCAAAAAAAAAAAAAAACGTTTAAATCAGTAACACAAGTATAAACAGCTAACGATACAATAATAGTGTAATAATTATTGCAATACCATAACATTTTTTCTGCAGAAAAATGTATAATAACCGTTTCGGACAACAATACACAATCAACCATTTTTTACTGGTTAGCAAGAAATGTATGTTAGGTTTAGGAAAATAACATGCCCCGATACCGATCAAAAGTTTTTAAAACAATTATCTGATTCCGCAATGGGAAATTTACTTGTTATGCTCTATGGAACGTTTTTTTCAATCTTTATAATACAGTTTAGAGAATAAAAATAAAATGTTTCAAACATACTCGATAGTAAATTATTGATTTTAAATATTATATTTGTTAATATATATAAAAAAAAAATTTCAAACAAATGAACTTAAAATTGTTTAAAATATACATATGTTTTATATTTATTTGATTTATCGTGTATTTTAATCTGAGCATTAACAAGTTAAAAAGTTAACGGTTACTTTTTTTAGTGATTTTTAAAACTAATTTTAAACATTTCAGCACAGAACAGCTGTTATTTCGCACAACAATGAAGACTGATAAAATATTAATTCTCGGTTAAATGATTTGTACATCATTTTTGCAATCAGTTAATATTAGTAGCTAATACTGCAATATTTAAAAATAATGATTGGTTGTATTTTTTTTATTCAAATAGTACATCTATCTTGTTTTAAATAGCTCTTAACTTTGCCGAGATGCTTTAAATGATTTGACATAAACTAGTTTTAACGAAGTGAATAATTATTGTTGTAATGATTTTTAATGGGAATTATTAATTTTAATAGGAATTATATTTTATATATTTCAGTTTGTTTTCGTCGATGGTTCTTTGAAAAGATGTTTCAACACAATTTCGGGCTTTCATTTTCTTTACTCAGACGGAAGTATAGTTCCAGTGGGCATTGTTCGCCGCAAGTTCAAGTCGGATTAAGTCAGTCGGCAATGACTAATGAATATTCAGCGCGTTTGACATTTTTATTGAATAAAGAACACAAAAAATATCAAACAATCCATTTGAGGCCAACCCGGTTTCCATATTTAATTGGCTCCTTATGAAAATTAGTTTGCTCTCGTTCCATTGTGCGCAGAACGAACAAAAAGCAAACAAGCCAATTTCCGCCGAATGGAATATTTAAGACCATTAACAAGCTATTTAGGTGCTCCACATAAACGACACATAATTTATAATATTTTTCATCATTGTTGTTGTTGTTGTGTGTAATATATTTTTTTAATAACCGACACGCGTGCGCTTCTTCGCCGAAACGGTCCAAGTTCTTTTCATGTACAACGTTATTTTTTATATATTAATATTTATAACGATAATAATGAATATGTTATTGTTGTATTTTAAGTCATCTCGTTTCTTTCAATTAGGTCACGGCCGGATCTCTTCGGTTATGGGATGGAAAAAAAAAATATATATATATTTTTAATTATGTCTTGTACAGGGGGTGGATACAAGGGAGGGGGGCTGAAGCCACTCTCTTGCGTACATTAAAAGGGTATTTTTATGTCGATTTGTTTTACTTTGTAAGCTTTAACTCTATGGCTGTTGCTCACATGTATTTCAAGTGTATTTTTTTTATTCCTACATTCACCACTGGTCTTGTGTTATCTAGATTAAAATAAATTAACTAAGCAAATTTGGTAATATTTCATAATTTCTTATGATAATACAAGCAACGCGTTTGGGTTGTACTAACATTTACCGATTCAATCGTTTTTACAGGTGTTACATATTTTCCTAATCTATTACCATATTATAATGGATTGATTTGATTTATGAAATAATAATTTAGCCTAAGGAATCTTTTAGAAGTCTCCTGAAAAAACCAAAATTTGAAATCGGGCCCTTGTTCTATAATAATAAGCGTCTCGATTGCTTTAATCACAAACTGATCCGTTACTAGTTCTGTTCCATCTGTTCTACATTAGTCTACATTTGAACTAAAGGCAATACAAAATCAGGTATCCAATCCAGAGAACGACACACCCCTAAAAAACAGCTCAGAAACAACTCAAACGGAATTAGTAAATTTAGAAAGGTCGTCTCTACTCATCATTGCTCAGGTCACTTACAAAGTCACATTAGGCTAGTCAGCTAGGTTAGGGTAGGTCTTGCGGTCTGTCCAATAAGTTATTCAACGATTTTTATTTTACCAGTACTAGAAATTACAATTATTTTTTTTTTCTAACTTCATAAAGTAGCAACGTACATAATTGATTGACTTATTAAATGTAGAATAATGTAAAAATGACGACTGACAGATAACCAGTTTTACATGTTTTATTGCTTGATTGAAATTCTACTGGAATCTAGTTTTTTTTTTTTTTTGATGATAAGACTAAGCCCGAATTAAATAACACACTGGACACTAATTGGGCAATTCGACATTTTTTTAAAGTAAATCGTTGTTACTTGTTGGACTACTAGTCCGGTGTACGAATAAATAACATTATCAAATTGGTGGACAAGTACAATAGTAAAACTAAGTAGTTCATAATGGTTTTCCTCGTTACATATTATTATCTGGCAAATTAAATGGCAATAGATTTACAGATGGATTCTTTATCGACTATTGTTCAATTGTCTCTATTGTTCGAAAAAACATAATACACCGAAAGCTCATTATATTAATAATAATAATACAATTTGTATTATACAAGCGTACTATAAATACTGTCTAGCCATATTATTATTATTGGTTTTTTATTATTTATATATATATATATATTGAGGTCTTCTCCTCCTATAGGCTGTAGATTTCCTTAGGGTATTTAGATCAAAGTTTCTTGGTTAATTGGCTAATACTAAAAAATATAAGCCGTGTGATAAAAGCATTAATGTGCTTAATAGTTTTCTGATAACTATTCTGACAATGTGGAAATTGTGTAAATCGCCCATTTTTTTGGAGGTTTTTCATAATATTATTTTTATTCTTATTAGTACTACATTTAAGAAAATACTCATAGAAGTCTAGAAGTAGTATTCAACTATTTTTAAAAATGTTAAAAAAAATATGTTCATATAAAATATGTTTTTAGTGCGCTTTTCTCAATTTTGAAGGAGAAGTGGTGAATATCTAAAATAGACCCATTAAATTAAGGTTGACCCATTAAAGTACACTTTAGATAAGATTCCTTAACTATAGACTTCCTATATGAATAAATTAGTTGAGCTTTTATGAGTTATCACCGATCAAGACACAAAATGAATAAATAAAAACACATTATTGCAAAAACAGTACTTTCTCGCAGCGAAACGCTCTGATGTAAAAATATAAAGAACAATTAAATACACAAGTGTAAATAGTTTTAATTACAATAAGTATTTTTATAGCCGTGTTATATGACTCTTTTTTGTTTTTTTTTTTTTGAGTTTTTCTCTTAAATCCAAAATAATCTACTGACTGAACGTACGGATTTGGGAATTATTTAACGTTGTATATGCTAAACCAAAACAAAAAAAAATACTGTTTTTGAAAAGTAAAGTGTCTAATCAGTGACATCTCCTCGTGCGACTTGTCTTTTTGATTTGCGCCCGTGCGTTCTAAGTCATTATGTAATTTAAGTCGACTCTCAGTAGGTAAGTATTAGTGTTAATTATCACTATCTTTATGACCCAATTAACTCAATTAAAATTGATTTAATTAGTCGTTTGCCTGCCTACCGGTGTAACATAATTATTATTATTGGTAATAACTATTACACTGTTGACATTTTCATAATATCGGTTAGGTTTTCTCGTTGCTACAAGACCGGTCGTATGGAGAAAAAAAAACACATTAACACTTGTAACCGAATAATAATTGTGTCACATGGTTATAAATTCGAAATTCGTTTGTGTGTGTGTGTGTGTGTGTGTGTAATTCGACGACAAACTAGTCTTTAATAAAAAAAAAATATATATATACATACATAAATATATATTTATGTAAAAGCCACCGTTCGAGTGTCGACCGATTTCTCGACGTTTATCGACGATTAAAAAAATAAAAAATAAATAAACTGGTAAGATCGCGTCATGTACTTTGTGATATTATTGTCTTGTCAGAAGAGAAACTCTAGACGTTTAAGTTTACATCACCGGACCTTGGTGCGCGCGTGCTAGCCCAGAACTTGACCGAGCCACTGGGCAATGTCAAGGCCTCTCTAAGTGCACATAATATGATAATGATAACGATATACTACGGTGTCGAGGCGGTGGAACGATCTCAAACCGGTAGGCTGAACGAGGAGGAGACACTGATAGGACAGGGAGATGAAGGGAGAAAAGATGCGGGCAGAAAGGGTGGAGACGGATCTCGCTGAAATCAGCAGTGGTTCAGGCAGCAATAAGGGCTGTAAGAGCTGGGAACGGAAAACAAGAAGAATATTTTTTATTATAAAACAATTACATTAAGTACATCGGGGAGAGGTTTCAGCTCCCCATATGGCTCTCCTCCGTTGTATCCACCCTTGGTAATTATAGGCCAATTTTTGAGAATATTCCATAACGTTCTACGGGCCTACTCTAGAACTACATGTAGATAATATAATTTTCTGGTTTTAATTCGCAACACTAAGCCCAGTAAAAAGAAGGGATAGAGTAAAACGGGTTCTCCGCCATCCCGGGGTCAATGAATTTTTCTCGTTTTGTCCAAAACCAATTCATCTTATTTAAAATGGTTAT